GGACCACATCCAGGTACAATTTTTACCCCTTTCTGTGCCTCTCGACTCCAGCGTGTCAGGCCAGGGCCGGTCTCTCAATTCCTAGGAAAGACGAATACGAGGTGGGCGTCCCCTCTGGAACCTCGGGAGATCAAACACCTAACCCGACCAGCAGATAGATGGTAGATTGACACTCAGAGTAAATGTACTGCTGGACCTATCTTTATACTTCTGGGGGCCTGTATCTTCTTTCTTATCTAAGAGGCCAAATTGTACTGGTCCGTTTTGTGGCGCCAGTTCTTACAAGCAAGTTTCAAGTTAATTTACACTTGCAAGAGAGAGAACTAAATTGTGAGTACTAGACATTTTTTTACTGAGCGAGAGATTCCTCCCCTCGCGGACGGCTGTGTTCGTATCAATATGGGTTAAGTCAAGGGCACTCTTTGGCAGCCTCTTGGTCAGCAATTGGCATATCTCTGTTTACAGCCATTCACGGTCACACAGCTTGGGCCTTCTGCTCTGTGTGCCTTGTATGCTCCAGGCAAGCAAAAATGGATGTTACAGGGGGGTTCCTGTCTGGCTACATTCCACCCCCTGATACGACACACTACGTCTTAGGATACAAGATGACGGTGATACTAGCACCTCTTGCTCACCTTGGGGGAATCTAGAAGTGCCTCAGGCCGGAATAGAAGGTTTAGGATCTAGGAATTGGCTAAGGTCTTTTCCTAGTGCTGTGTATTGAATGTGCACAGAAAAGATAGCTACATTAACTAGGCGTTTTGCAATACATAGGGTTATGCAGAAAATGATTACAACAATTACAATGGTTAAAACAATGATTATAATAGAGTGTAGGAAAGGAGTTAAGGAAAATTCTAGCTCTTGGGCTAACTAATTTAGCCATGAGATGTTTACATTCTTAGTTACAGCATGTCTTACCTTATACAGTCTGTTGCCATTTCCCTTGCCTCCCTCTAAAGTTATTTTGAGGATTGCGGTGGTCGCTGTCATTGAACTATACTGGTCTCCATTGGGAGATGTCGCTCTTGTTTCACTAGTTGTTTGGGATGAGAGGGACAAACTCGATTTCCAGTCTAGAAGAGGAGTCAAGTAAGGTGTTCTGGTACAGCAGTAGCAGTTGGAATGAGAAAGAAGACCATGGCAAGTTGGAGTACCATGTCTTGCTTCAGCTTAGGTTTTTTTCTATAGTTCAGTCTATAACAACAGCGAATGCAAGCGCTGCAACAGCAAGCGGTATATATACAAAAAGTTCATGGTGGTTTCCTAGATTTACACCAGCGTTGGGAGGTATACATCCCACTGGAGCACTGTTTAGGGCTATTGCCTCAGTATCTTGTAATAAAACAAAAGGTT